CTTCCCATGGAAAAGTTGGGATTTATAAATGGGACAAAGTACGGAACCTTTGACCCATGCATACCAACATTTTGCATCTTGCCAGGCTTCAGTCTGTGTGTTTAAGGCCAAACTATGGTGGTACTGGACCAACCAGTGTCCACTGAGGAAGAACTGGCAGCTACAGGATTGTGACGCAGTGAGTAGACACTGTCTGTTGCTGCTGCTAGCATCATTGGTTAAAGTTTGCCTGTGATAGACGCTGACAGACAGATGGTTCATTCAATAACTTTCAGAGCATTTTTTTAAAAGTGCATGCCCTTTTCCAAACTGTTTCCGATGACTTCCCCGGTAGTTCTGTGTAACAAACCACATGGCACAGTCAGGTTATACCATAAGCACCTCTCCATTTTAAAACCAACCCAATCTGAAACATTTTTGCCTGTGACTTATTATTGAACTATTACTGAACTAATAGCTGTTGGCTCACCACCACAATCCCAAACCCTCAGAGTGCAGAGAAGATCGCCGGGCTGTATGCCTTGTAGCGCTGCTGAAATGCTAACAGTGATGCCAGGATGTCTCCTGTGGCACCTTCTGCACAGTCTAACGTTTCCTGATTCTTTCCCACCTCAACCACATTACCTAGATGATGGAATTATCATCAGTTATAGTAATTTGTAAAATTGTTACACTATCATTACATTTATCATTAATTAAACTCACAGTTGAATGGCTTTTAATTCAAGAAATAAAATGCATTTTAGAGACACATCATCAAATCCTCTGCTGTGCCATGACCTGCCCCACAACTCTGTATCCAAACAATACTATTATAGATTTTGATAGCAAAAATATACATTTTAGATCAGGTTTTCAAAGTAACAGTAACAAGAGACAACAATTGCGATGAACCATTCATTTTGATTTCAAAGAGTGAAATGATCAAATCACAGAGCTGTCTTACCAAGCTGTGAGCGGTAAAGGTTTTAGGCCTGCAGTCCTAGCCAGTTACTGTCTGTGAATTACAAACTCTCGGCTGCTGTCTGGTTAATAAGCCCTGTGCACATCTGTGTCGCTACTGTTTAGGCCCAGCCAAAGGTAGCTTTGTCAAGAAAGAACAACCACTCGGTATCATTATGATGTAAGAAAGGATAGCAAGTTGACTGTGTGGCTTTGCTGTCTGTCTAATGGTTAAACAATCCCACTCACTGCATCACATCACTGTCAGACGGCTAGTGAGGAGCGAGCTTGGTAGATGTCATCAAGTGACCAACAGCTGGAGGACAGTGAACATGATTCAGGGCTGTACAGAAACTCATTCTGACTTTGAAGCTAATGTTAGCTTAAGCAAATGCAGTGCAGAGATGTAAACAGTCACCAGTCACATGTGTGAAATATTTTATTTGTCATTATTAATGGTAAATAATTATTTATGAGTATATTGTTATCCTACTATTTCATGTCAAAATTCTGTGGAAAAGGTCTATCACTGAGCCTCCACAAATTCCACGGGTGAATACTTCGAGAAGGAAACGGCAAACCACTGCAAACTGAGTTATAACTGACTAATCTGTGTATAGGTGTGTCTGGTTACTTTGCTGCAGTATGGCGGTTATTGTGATCCAGATACACACAGTGGTCCTTAGTCCTTAGAAACACCAGGCAGACAGGTGAGGTGACTTTCAAGGACAGTAAAACGACAAACTGTCAGGAAGCTACTCGTAGCCCAGCTCCACCCACTGGTTAGTCCTCTTTCAGGTAGAGGGGGACTGCGTGAATCAGCTGCTGAGCTGATCAATAGGCCTTTTTCACAGAACACATGTTGACATGACACAACAGTAGGACAGTACAGGTGGAAATAATCCAACAAATGAGGTCTGAATTCATTTTCAGGGAGCTGTTATTGTTCGCTGGCTCCCTGTCACAGTACTGTGGCTCTGAGTAGAACATTGTTAATGTTATTAGTAACACCTGTGCTTTTCCTACAATAACAGGTCCAAAGGTCTGCTGGGAAAATGTCCTGTTGAATGAAAACTTATAGACTGCTGGCACTCTGTGGCACACTGTTGGACACTTCTGCTTTTTACACAATATACTGTATTTTTGGTAGCATGCTATTTTATTCTACTGGGACAGGTATCTTTAGTAATTTGGCCTAAGACACAAAACTACCTGAAGAAACACATCTTTAGATAGATACACATCTTTAGATAAATACACATCTTTAGATAGATGCACATCTTTAGATAGTGGTGTAACGGAACGCAGTTAATCTGTGACAGGGTGCCTATCTGTGATGCAATATGTAAGGTAAAGTGATTACAGTATTGGTAGTTTTAGTGGCATTTCGAAGAATGAAATATATTTTCATGATTATCCAATAATATTGATGATATCGTGGCCAAGACCACGTAATCTCTCTCACAGAGAGTGCTCCCGTCTGCCCCTAACGTTAGCCTTTTAGTTACTTTGTGGGGGGCTCCACAAAGCTAAGATTATAACCCGGGGTGTAAATTATTTTTGTAACATTCATTGGTAATTAGTTACACTACAAGTTACTGGGGAAAGTAATAATATTACTGTAATATTATCACTAACAATGCCTTACTGCCCAACACTGATGACTGGGTTATAGGGAAGAGATTTACATGCCTTGCTTTCTCCATTAAGTTAAATCCTGTAGGCTGTCACTTTGGGCGTTTTCACTGTTGTAACTGGGAAACTGGGCATGGTTGTCATCATAGAAACAGATCATAAGATTGATTGATGCGTTTTGCAACTTCATTAATATGTGCTGCCTTCCCTTTGACACACAGCTCTGCTCACTCACCGGAGCAGCTCATGTCTCTGCCTGTCTGTGGCACAGCAGCCCTCAGCGTTGATGGGCTAACACTCGTGTAACCAATCAGATGTGGGTAGCACACTGAGTGAGACTACAGACTGAGAGAGGCGGCTAAAAAGTATCCAAACTGTGACTAAAAACCTCAAAAAGAGTTTTATTTTGTGTTCCGTTGAACCCTTATCTGTACATTTTGTCATCTGATAACCCATTGTCCTTTGACTAATTACCTACATAGATATGTCAAGATAACCGAATTTTAACTTTTTCCAAAGAGGACTTCTAACCCTGATTAACTCCAATCCCACATATAATCCATGGATTCTGGATTCTTTCCTCTCTGGTATAGGGACTTTGATTAGACCGCTGTGTGATCACTGTATCCTCACCATCTTCTCCCAGCGCTCATATCCACCGGCTCATCCAGCATGTTCTCCTTCCCATTCTTGCTGGGTCCAACATGGCCACCATGGCCTCCCATCCTCAGACTCCCATTCAGCTTCTCCTCATAAGCGGCGCCCATTAGGCTCTGGTGGTGGAGGGTGCTGGCCCCGGGGCCCTTCCCATCTCCCAGTGGCCCCGCCACCTCCAGGGCTGCCAGGTCGGCTAGGTCCTTGCGTTTGAGTAGCGCCAGCATCTTGAGGCGCTCCATGGCCTCGTGGCCCTCCATTTTGAGGCGCTTGGCCAGTGCCTCCTCTCGCTCGCTGGATGACTCCAGGCCTCGCTTCAGCAGGTTGAGCCTCAGCGCCTCCTCAGACATCCGCTCCATCCTGAGAGAGAGAGGAGGGGGACAGAAGGGTTAGCAGGGCCACAGCAAGGATCTCAAACTGGATTTAGATCAAACACTAGGGCTGTGAACTGCCGATAAGTATTACGATACAGGGGTTACAATTTAGTATATTGCAAAACTGTAAACAAGGTGAACTGCAAAATAGTCGTAGTCCCTGTAACATCCAACATTGTTAAGTCCGACTGCTGCATGGCAAACAAGAGCGGGGAGCGTTCCATATCTGACAGCAGCTGAGTCAAATGAAGATTTTTAACTAACCAATATGACCCCAGTGACCTGAGAATGGGAGCAGTGAGATGCCAGGATGCAACAGGGATAAATAAATAATCAGACAATATGAGCAGCTGATGGTAAGCTCATTCAGATGGAAGTGGGTTAAACGCAGCGGGCTAAGAATAGCCTGGATCTCTGTGCTTGACGGTGACAAATACATTTGAGAAATGTTTGATGCCTCCGAGAGTGTGTGTGTGTGTGTG